TAACTTCCACCAAATCAAATATAAAATATTTAGGGATCAACATAACTTTACATTGAATATGTAATTTAATTTTCAAAATAATAAATAGTTAAAATAAGTTTTTTTTTTAATTACAGTTATAAGTAAAATAATAAAATAAGTTAATCAAGTATCAAAGTGATAATTTTATATTTTTAAAGTATTATTATTATAGTTTTAATAACGTAAATAACAGTGGATAATATTCTTTGAAAATTAAGTTTGCTGTTATAATATGTACACCGTTTCAATTCGATTATTTCACCAAGCTTATATTTCAAATTTATATCATAGAAATTTATTAAAAATATGCAAAACCACTGTGATTCACTCATTAACATATTTAACATGATCTGTATTTGTAGGGTAAGATAATCTCAAGTAAATATTGAATCATGCATAATCAAGATTAGAACTTTTATAATTCGAAAACACGCATGTATAATCTGTTATGACAACAATAATATTATTGTTTTTTGCTTGAATCTATACACTTAAGTGTAATTATCTATATATATATATATATATATACAAATTGTTTTATATCTTTAAAATTTGTTGTCAAAATTTTCTACCAGGATCGACTTCCAACACTTTTAAACAATTGTTAAAAATAGCACAACCTGTCGCATCATATTTAAGTACCTATTGCATTTGATGTCTTTATAGATTTTAAATGTGTTACTATTTCAAGTTATAATTAGTAAAGTGACTTCGAAAACAAGCCTTGTCACATTAATACATTTTAAATTAAATATGTATAGTTATAATTGCATTTAAAGTGTAATTATACATAAATACACGTGTTCTAAAACAAAATATAAATATAAATGCAGAGATATTTTAATATCAACACGATATTTTATGGTAGTTAGTGAATACGATTATTTTAAATAACTTTAAAACGTGAAAAAATAAATCTTAAAATAGAATACAGACCTGAATAAAGGTTTAATTATATTTAAATAAATGTAGATAAGAATGATATGTGTTATGGAGTGAGAATGATGGAGAGTGGGATTTTACTCAATAAGGAAGTTAGTACAATTAGAAAGGGACTAAGGATAGATTTTAATTCATCATGGAATTTGTAATGATGGGAAGTAATTGATCAAGTAATGTTATGTTAGCTGTTGTTTTAGGTACATGACAGATTTTCTATTGAATTTGAACTGGGAACTTCATTTCCATTTCTTCGAGGTACGGTAGCACATTAGATATTGGAATGAGATAAATTTTTATAGTTGTTTTTCGGTCTATTGACTGATGGGGCTTAATATGGTTTTGTAGATTTTATATCTTTTATAGTTGGTTTTGTGATTTCTATTACGATTTGCACATTTTGCGAGTTCCTACCATTTTTTAAAGCAATCATCAGTGGTTTGTTCTAATCCGAATTTCACGCAACGTGGATATTGGTAACAATAGTTTCTGAACTTCTGATAGTAGTAACATTGGGAAGAATCTAGTTTCCTTTTTGAGTTTTCAAATTTTACAATTAAGATAAATATTTTGAACATTTTTTGATTATTGGTGTTTTAAGCTAGACTAATATTGAAAAGATGAAATGGCAATTTTTTCGTATTATGAGGTATATTTGAAATACTAATAACTTTATGCCCAAGGTTGCTTAAGAAATATTTGATGATTATGGTTTAAGTGGAGAAGTGGGAGTGGCATTAAACAATACGAAAATATTGGGAGAAACAGTAGAAGATATGAATGATATGAATGATATTAATAATAATAAAACAGTCACTTGAATTTCTTTATATCAATATTATGATCACATGTATTTAATATTATTTTTTTCAACAAAACTATTATGTTTATAATTTGATGCAAAAAATCAGAACTCTGTGGAGATGTACATCTGTAAAAATATATAATGTAATCATCCTAAATATTTAGTAGTATTTATCATGGAAATAATCTTATTGTAACACTATTATAGCTGGTCTTACATTTCACTTATAGTCTTATGCATTAATGATATAAATAAGCTACTGTTGATTTAATTTTCTATAGTCAGCTATTTTTACTATAAAATTTCCTATAGCTTTTACTATTCATATATTCCACAATAATGGCTTTTCGTTATTGTTAAATTTGGCATGCAAACAATTTTCATGTAGTATATATAGTTTAGTAATGGTTTGCATTTGGTTGTCTTTGTATGAACTATTGTTTGATATGCCACATCCTTAATTAGTTCAAAAGTTATTGTTTGAAAGAGTTGAATAGAATATTGTGTGTTATGCATTATAGAATATACGTATATTTTAATATTTCTCGTTACTCTTTAAATATTAGTTTTAAAGAAATTATTGTTTTTATTTATACCTAACAGAAGTTTATAAATAATCAGATTATATATAAAAGTATAGTTTACAAGTTATATGGAATATGTTACAGCAAAAATATCAAATATTTACAAAACAAAAAAAATATTTAAACCAAATCATAAACATTCTTATTACGATAGTTACATAATAGTATAATTTTTTATACATGTTTATTGATAAAAATTCACAAAAATCAATGATCCAATAATGGAAGTTAAATTATGTTTCTCTAGTTTTAAATTGTTCTCTTATATAAATATATTATATTAAAAATGAAGATAAAACTAGTAATTTGTAATAAAAATTGGATATTTTCATTACTTTTTCTTTATTTCAGAACGCTATTAAAATATGAGTTTATAGCTTAAGATATGAATGAGAAAATCAAATGTAAAGTTATAAGTAAGGCTAGGATTTATATGCAAGAGTATATTTTTTTTTTGCAACTTCTGATTATTGCTTTTGTAAGTAATGTCCACGAATCACCTCATGATGAGATAAACAGTGGTGATTTTTTTTTGCATATTTTGGAAAAAATGCATATTAATACATATGTTGAATAAAAATAATATTATTGCATATTTTGATTATAAAAACGCATATTTTATGATATATTTCATGATTAGTCTTTTTATTATGCAACAGTATGCATTGATGCTGTTCAAAAATAACTATTTAAGGTATACATTGATTAATATTTAATAGAAGTCTGTCTATTTTTAAAAATTTAAAGCACCATGTTGTAATTGTTTTGTGCAATACATTTGAATAGCGCGAATAGTTAAGAATTTCGTTTAATTAATTTTGAACCGTATGATTTTTGTTGAGTATATATTTCATATTTTTTTGATGTGTATAATATCGATTGCATATTTTTAATAAATCAAATGCATATTTTACAATTTTTTATTGCATTTAAATCCTATCCCTAGTTATAAGATATTCAGTGATACGTTTAATAGTGTCACATTATTCATATTGTTAATTTAATCAGGATTATATATTACTCATATAATAAGATAATAACTACTGATAAACTTTCAATTTATTTGAAATTTGGTAATATAATGAATTGTAATATCTATTTAAAACTAATTATTTTTTTTTTTTTAATTCATTTGAATTTAATAGTTTTTAAGCAACTTAATATTTTATTATTTTAGAATACATACTATACACATTTTGTTTGAATATTATAAACTACATTATTAATTATATTTTTATAAAATATAACAGAAATGTACATAAACATTTGAAGCAGGATTTAAAATATCAAAATATACATCATTTAATTTTAGTTGGTTGTTTTTTTTCTAAATTTATTTGGACAAAAAAATGCCTAAAAAACATTTTATATGGTACAAAATTAATACTATTGTTAAAATAATAGATATTCTTAACTGCATGGATCACAAAATATAAAAAAATGTATTTAAAATAATAAATTATATCTATTCAAGTTTTCAACATGTTTGTGTATTTCATAGATGCACGCTTAGGTTTATAATATTATGATCTCAGTACAAAACTATGATTGTTATTCGAAACAAATTAACTATAATTTAAATAGGTCAATGACACTTTAATACTTCAAAACGTATTTCATATAAGACCTCGATAAACACGATTCAAGAAATTAATATAAACATAATATGATAATACGATTAGGAATAATACGCATTTATTTACTTCCTTGGTTAAACATTTTGCATGTGGTATGTATTTAAATTTGAAACAAATACATTTATAAAAATTAACCTGCAATGTATTTTTATTTTTATAATTAGCGTCTACATTTCAGTTAAAATTTTACTTAGTTTACTTACTGTAGTCAATTTAAATTTCTATACTAAATCATATCGTCATTTTCTATATGTAACACAATCATGGCATTTATTAATCGTTGTGATTTACTTTAATTATAGGATGTTTATGTGAATGAAATATTGATATGCTAGATTCAGCTCTGTTGCAGTTTTTTTGATAATATTTCATTGTTATACTTTCTCTTACCCAATGCACACCAATATTTTATTATCAATCATAAAGAGAAATATTTATGTATAATAACGAATAGTATCTACTAATTAGGATCTTTCCATTATTTAATATGCATTTACAAATCAAGACGGCTAGAATGTACTTTTAATTTTTAAATTTTAAGTTACAGTAGCTACTAAAAACAATAAGTTCTAGAAATAAAACCTTTCAAGAATAGCAGAAATTTCATTCAAATATTAAAAAAACAAAAACCAAAACTGATAGTAGGTTGTTAATATAAACATTTTCCATTTTAATTGCTTTTATGATTTTAATGACTTATACTTATTTATTTTTATTGAATTGTATACTAATTTTACTGGAACTGCTGGTTAAAACCAGTATTAACCAAAACAGATATTTTTAATGTCATTGGAATGGATTCAACATCATAAAAATCATAAGTTCTTAGAGTTAGGTTCATTTTAAAATTATATGGTATAATATTATTGCGATGATAGATCGTATTAATACTTTGCATACCGTGTACATAAAAACTTGGATTACAAGCGGACCTGCACCATAAAGTAATATGATTCTTATTGTAATATTAAATAATAGATATATTTTAACAATTGTATGACAGGTATGACTTACCGTTTCTAGTGGACGCAACAAATACCTTGACCAATCGCGGTATGGCCCATTCCGCTGTATCCAGCTCACCTCTGAATACTCTTTGCACCTCGTCCTCGTTATTCATTTCTGCGAATCCATATCTGTAACCATAACGGAAGACCAACGTTTTTAAATATTTAATGATAACTGAAGTTTGTATGTCAACTCGTTAAAACGTAATAATATAATATTATTATAGACAAAAAAAAAAAAAAAAAAAACACTCATGATTCAATTCATGACGATATAATTTTTTTTCTTATCGTTTTACTTGTCACAATATCGATAATCGCTCGTACGTCACTCATACAAATTATGTTAAAAAAATAATATCTATAAAAACTAATATAATATAGGTACTTATAAAAAAAGTTTACCAAAACATGCTAATACATTATCAAACACTGTGCATTGGTCATTGAATCAAATCGTCGTTATCCGAATAAACAACACCAGTTGTAATATTTTGCATAAACGTCTGTGTTTGTTAGATATGTGTGGGGACCTATTTTTTAACGTGCATGTAGTGAGCTTTGGGTAAAGTTGTTTTACTATAATAATGTCGTTATGTCATAATACAAAAGTTGCGTTTAATGGGTGTGTTTTATGTGGAAAAAGTTTGATCGTCTAAAAATGTATGCGTATTTAGGTTAATTATATATACTAGGGGATGTGCAAAATTGATTTTTTTTTCAACACATCTTATCATCTATGTCAGAATACGTACAATAAATTACTATTGTGTCTATATTGATATAAGTCCGATTTAATTAGCATAAAAAACACTAAAAAAAATGTTATTATTTATAATGAATTAATTGAAAAATTATCTCATCAAAAGTATACAAAATTATTTTACTGAATATTCGAATGTATAAATTGACATTTGTAAAACAACATATGGACATAAAAAGGTCATTAATCCATAATACAGATTATAATCGAATTTCTCATACTTTAAAATTTAGAGTCTAAATAATATAATGATTAAATGTATATAATATTATGATTATAAAAAATTCATTAAGCTAAACAAATACACTTAATAACATAGTGGCATTAAATTAATTAGATAGTATAAAATTGCTTAACTACTAAAATTGAATAATAAAGAATTTAATTATTTTCTTATAAAATCAACTAAATATTTTTTAATTTGACAAGAAACATATTAATTGTTTTATTGAGCCATAAAAAAACCAAAGAAGTAATATTTTTGTTGAATTACCATAGTATTTAAAGTTAAAATGATATATTGACTAAATGAAGTAAGAAATTAATGTGTACCAGTTACAAGTACTAGTGAAATCGGAACATTTAAAAAAAAAATGATAGTAGGTTGATAAAAAGAAATTTTTTTTCGTTGTTTATTTGAATCATTGTCCTATTAACTTAGTATATCTACAGTGACTAAATATTTGAAAATATTTACATCGTTTTAATATTTATGTTATGCTGTAATTGTTATTTTTTTTTCCATTCAAAAAATATCAAAACTAATAAAAAATAATAAATAAATGGAAAATGTTTTCTGAAATGTTTCAATAAATAGTGACTTATTTAAATCAAAATTAAATTGTTACATGATATGATTATATTGTTGTAGTGTATTATACAAGGTTTGTAATAATTAATTTTTACATTCTTGCAGAATTTATTTATAAAATATCTAAACCAAATTTTACAACCTTACACGTACCTTTTAAATGTTTTTGGTAAATTATAGTCGTTTGAACAATAAACAGTGTACAGTTATTCGACAAGTCAATTTCAAATAATAATTATTTATCTTGAAATAGAATTTTATTCAATTCCACATTATATAATAAAGGTCACAAGTAGTCGTAAAAATCACTACCACTGTACGCACTAAAATAAACGACCATTTTTCCAACTCTTAGCTCGAATAAAATCACACATGAATATAAGATATGTATTTATATTGGTTCAGACCAAAACGATATAAAAATATTCATTGTAAATTCACTCGTAATTTTAGGACTAAATGTGCTTACTCAAACTCGTTAAATTGGTCTTAAATTGAAAATTAGATTTTCTGACTTATGATTAATTTACTCGTATTTGTTGTGGTTAAGAGAGAGGAGACCACTCTCAGATAAATCTGAAAAAATACAATTTCGATTTACATAAAAACTATCGCACTTTTGTACACAATATATTATTATTTATTCTCCTTTGAATACATTGGTGAGTTTGAAACCAAGATATTTTTGAAAAACACAGGACATTTGAAAAATAAAACTAAACACATTATTACGATCACGTGTACAGGTGTAATAACTTTGTAATTGTACAAGAAAGGCGTATTTTAGTAGTAGGTACGTACCACTGAAATTGATAACAGTATACTATGCATACAGAGTTACGACATGAACGTGTTTAGAGTCTGAACGGGAGAGAGGATTACAGAATTACTGCCTATAATCTACAACTCTCGTCAATCGTTATTATCGTTTTTATTATACCTTTATGTTAAGATTAAATAATGTGTATTAAATATAATTTCAGTTATATCATAATGTTTTGTAAAATAAGCATCCTGAATAATTAACAGTAGGTAGTAGGTATAGTAGGTACCAAATTAATGTTGAGTGTTGGTATCAAACATTTTTTTAAGCGAGAGGGGATGACTCTATTAAGGGGTACTGTCTATGGATAGTGGAGAAACCAACATTTTTTTAAGGGGGAGGGAGGTACAAAAGTATAATTATTTTAAAGCAGCAAGCAAGTTTAATTATTATTTTATTGTTTGATTAAATAATGTAAATATTGTAATTATAATGTAAAATTGAATGATAATTAAATGTAAAAATTAAAAATTTGTACAATATGTATGCTGTTGTAATAACAATAATATTAAGGTACTTTAAGAGTTAATAAAATTAAATCTAAACGAGGTTTTGTATAAAATGATGTATTACTTTTTCGGGTTAAAATAACGTTTTATTTATAATATCAAATATCACAAAAGCTGTACTCATCACTAAATCGAATAAATTATTCAATTTTGTCAAAAATGTTTATTATTTTAAAAATATGCGACACGGTTCATTGTTGGGGGATTCCGGACTTGGGATCTCCCTCCTTCCCGGTAACGCCACTGTCTATGGGTGATAATCAAAGACATACTATATTGCCCTAGTTCGCCGCCAAGTTTAACTTATTTTAAAACTACCTATAGATGTATAACAATTTGATAGTAGATAGTACCTATATCAATAATAAAATATCAAATACGAAAAATTTGACATTGAAACCATATTTAAATTAGTCATCATATTATATAAAACAAAGTTGTGTTACTGAAATGGACATGCTTTACTTGTATGGGTTAATTACACTTTTCCGCAGTGGCATGCTGTTTACAGGGCATAGCCTTTTTTGTTACGTTGTAAGTATACATTTTACATAAACCTAGGTACTAAGTCCATAAATAGTTTCAAAGTTCTTATTACATAATATACATAGTATATAACTGTTATAAAGGTGGAATGCACGCAATAAGTAATTACAATTTATTATACTAAATAACACAACTAATCATTCGTAATGGCTATTAACACTCATTGCACATCTTTTTTAAAGTCATGTTTCATTATTTGATAGAATTTATACAATTATTATTTTATTAAGCATTTTAAATTAACACTGATTTTATATGTTATACATAATATATATACATGGTAAGAAATTTGAGATAATTATTTAATTTATAATATTAATAAGATAAAAATAAAATACATTTAGAAATTGAATTATTAATTGAAACAGCTTACATAGTTTTTTTTCTTCTTTTTATTGAAAGAGTTTTCTAAATTATATTAGAGTGATAATAATTAAACCTATGATTTTGATATTGAATTTATATAACCAACATTTTCCCACGAAAAAATAATTGACAGTCACAAAACATAAATTGATATTTTAATATTATTGATTGTTTTATAAATTAAAATGCAAGAATTTAAAGAAAAATTTTTAAAATTAAAATGGAATTTTTATTTTGAAAACATAATTCGTAAGCTGCTTTGAAAATGTATGAAAATAACATTTTATATTTCTTTTAATACTAATGTTATAAATGAATATGTGAATTATTCAATGTCGATATTATATTATTTTGTTTATTTAAAAAAAAAAAAAAAAAAAAACAAAATTAAAGTGTCTTTTAAGCCCTTTCAATTATTGTAATTGATGCAACAATGTAAACTACCAGGCTAAATTAATTAAATATTAAACTGTAAATGAATAATATTTCAAAATTATATAGTCTCATTTAAATGTTAAGATTAACTTTTCGTGTTCCCGCCTTTAAATTAGTAAACAAATGTATATTTATATTTATCAAGTGTATCTAGAATATTATTTTCAGGTGGTTATTATTATTTTTTTTTAATTTAAGTGTACTATAATTTATTACAATATTAAATATGGAAGACGTTTTAAGTTTGTTTGTATGTATTTAATTAGTTTGATATTTTGCATGTTCGTGTATATTATATATTTTACATATAACTGTGTACGTTTATATCTAATATTATATTAGTCATTGTAATTTTCACCAACCATTTGGGTGGCAATCGAATATATAATATTAAATATTATTATTATTATAGTTTCAAGTTAGGTATAATTTTATCTTTAAAATTTACGCTATTATACTAATTTTATTTTGTAGTTCTGATGTAATATATCAACAAAGATTACAAGTATCTAATTATTATTACTTGTTAGGTACCATTTCTATTTGTTTTATTATAACCTAAATCTATGTTCTTAGGGTTATTAGTATACAATGCGCCGCATTGTGGCTGTGTTCGTGGACCATAGCTAATAGTAAGCTAAATATTTGCATATCATATTATACAGGTACACCCTACTGTATATTTTGCTATGGATTTTCCTTATTAAGACCAGAACACGAAAGCCTAACATTTATACAATTATGGAAATTCCCTATTTAGTTTCTCTCCATAGCTCCAAATGCATTTTTTATATTTTTATCCAAATATTGATTGTATAGCGAAACCATTTTTTTATTTAAATGGTTTGTTATAATTTATTTATTTTCAATACAAAT